CATCCGCTTTTACTAAAAGGTGAAAACCGTTTCAGATGTGCAGATTCCTTAATTCATAATTATTTTATTCTGTTCATTTGATTGCATCTGGATTCGAGCTTCGGTCTGTATTTCAACTGTTCGTGGGTGTACCAACTGAGCCAGGCCCATTGGTAGGATTTGCAGATTTCTTTTTTAATAGTTCTGTCAGTCCAATGAGTTCAGTCAACGACAAAATACAGTCGAAGCTGGGTAATGGGCCCGGTATTTCGTGTTGTATAGGAACACTGGACCTGATTTCCGGCAGGTGAATCTCCCCACCAATAGACTGGAGCAACTGGGAAAAAAAAAGGATGTGCAGATTTCTGAAAGGCATTTCAAGATGCAGGCAAAGGTCACGACCCAGAGTCAAAGGTCATGTCCCTCAGACCCAAAAGCAGCAGCACACCACGGAAAACTCAGGGAGGTACCAGGGCTCAACATTCTGGAAGCAAACAGGCCGTGGGCAGCCAGTACCGGGTCCAATTCAAGCCAAGAGAAGCAGAGGCTGGGGATGCGTCAGGGCTCAGTCCAAGTCAATATAGCGACTGGCCAGCCAATTTTGAACAGATTGCTTGTTCGCAAGAAGTGTGGAAGTGTTGTTGGGCGCTTGTGCGCTATCTGCGAGTAGCATGCGCTAGAGCCCTGGCAGGGCAGCGATGTGCTGAGGAAGGAAGGCGGCCATAGCCGCACAGCTAGTAGTAGGAGGTAGAGCTGAGTAGTAGCGGATGTATCCAGAGTCAAGATCTTTATGCAGACACACAGATATATATATCGTCAAATAGAACTGCCCGGTAAACCGTAGGCAGAGAGGGAGAAGAGGACAACAAACGAGGGGCTGTGACAAACTGTTTCGTCAGAGTTTCACCGACTCATCAGGAGGCTGAACCATATATATATATATATCGTCACAAACAGAACTGCCCGGTAAAACCGTAGGCAGAGAGAGAGAAGAGGGCAACAAACGAGGGGCATATATATATATATATATATATATATATATATATATATATATATATATATATA